TGGTGCAGATGCATTTCTCAAGAAGCTCAAAGTGCTTCTACTCTTCGGAAAATTAAAAAAAATAGTTCTGAAACAAAATAAAGGATGTCATATAGATATTGGCTGGCCTAGATAGGGCAATGCTACTGATACATTTCTGAGAAAGGAAATGTCAACTCTCAGTCCCAATCATGCAGACAGATGAGGCCTCCAATGTTATCTGCTCATCTGAGGCACTCAGCTGACATAGTCATTGAAAGAAAGAGACCCAGTGGCAAGAGGCTGTGCAATCTTCTTATGTCTTCCTCTGTTGCAACAAAGTATCATCCCTTGCTAGATAGTCAGGGCCTGGTTTTGAGAGATTCTGAACTATGCCTTGGCATATACTTTCACCCTCCACAAATGCACTGTCAAGTCCAAGTCGAATAACCTTAGTAGGCTGCTTCCCTGTCACAATGCCTACTAGAATTCAGGGCAGCTTGTGGCCCTTCAGATGTTTTGGCCTACCACTCCCATCAGTCCTCACCATTCTCAATGCTGGCCAGGACTGATGGGAGTGGTAGGCCAAAACATCTGAAGGGCCACAAATTACCACCCTGAAGGAGGGTAATTTTGCCTAAGAACGCACGTGTGATATAAACTGTAGCATGACTGCACTACGTGCATTCACTTTACTGCTGCACAAAGCCCATGGTAGGCGTGTAGTAGTGTCACGTCAGAATCTGACCCCACGCGCCGCGCGACTCTACAGTCCCTCCGAGGCGGCACTTTCCATGCAGGAACTTCATAACGTCTGAAGCGGCTTCCGGAGCTGACGCTGAACACCTTCACAAGGCTCGCAAATGCCGGCCACTGGGGAGGGAGCCGCCCTCCTTCCATGGCCGCCTGGGAATCCCACGGACAACCCGAGGCGCGCCCTGCCGCCCAGCCTGCTCCGCACACTGCAGGTGCCGGCCGGAAAAAGGGAGCCCGGGGCGAGGCTTTCCCAGAGCGACACTGGACGGCGGGCTTGCGCGCCGTCAATCAAGCCCCGCTGCCAGGCCGGGCGGCGCCGCCTTCCAGCCGCGCCCGGCCCCGACGGCTGCGTTGGCCCGTTATGTCCGTCCCGGATCCGCGTGTTCAGCACCGGCCCAAGGAGAGAGGGCGGGCGGGCTAGCTGCTGCGGGCCAAGGGAAGCCCCGGGGACTCCCGGGCGCTTCCCGAGCCACCGCGCTCCCCGGCCCGCGCTGGGAGAGGCAAGTGCATGCAAGACGGCGCCCGCCCTGACTCACCGTCGTTGGCCAGACCCATCTCGATGAGGGTCTCCTCGTTCGCCTTCTTCCCCAGTCGGTTCATGGCTGCTCGACAGGAGCGGCCGGGGAGGCGATCAAAGCCACCCGGCGCGCAGCAGGACAGATCCAGAGTGGCAGGGCAGCGAGGGGAAGGGCGGCGAGCCAGGCGGCAGGCGCCGCCCCCGCCCCTCGGTCTGTCTCCCTCTGGAGCGCGCTGCGCCCGCCCACTGCCGCTGATCTCGGCCCCCGGGTTCCCGTTGCAGAGCAGACGCGCTAGTTTCTGTCGGCCTCACTGGGAAGGCCGGGGGAGGAAGGGGAGAAGCGCCGCGCCCTTAAAGGGACGGTGCCGCGGTCTGCCCGGCGCACTGAGCCGGGGAAGTCGAGGCGGGAGAGCCCCGGGTGAGTCAGGAGCTGGGCGGGCGCGCCGCCGGAGCCCGGGCTGCGTCCCTCGTGCGGGCCGCGTCACGGAGGGGGCGTGGGGAGAGCGGAGGGCCCGCAGCCACCCCACCCACTTCCTGGCGAGTCCTGGGTGGGTCTCCCTCCTCCGAGCTGGCGCGCATTTGCGCTCTGTCTGAGCCGAGGCGGCTGCGAGAGCGGACGGCTTCTCCGCCCCGGCCCTTTCGCAGAAGGGACCGCTTCGTCTTCAGTCGCCTGCTGACTCTTTCCCCTGGGCACGGTTATAAATACTGTCCTCGTACCCCTGCAGACAGAATCAGGAGGCGGCGAAGGGGACGAGAAAGAGAAAAAGTCAGCTTGGGCCAATCCTTGTGTCTCAGTTTAACCTACCTCACAGGGTTGTGGATCGCCACCTGATCTTCCTCACAGGGTTGCTGTTAAGATTCGATCTGGAGTGGGGAACTTGGAGGAAGGATGGCAATATAATAAAAGAGAGGCTGCTTTTCTCTCTCTTTCCTCGCCATCCTTTCATAAACTCTTTTTCTGCCAGAACAAAGAGCCACTGTTCCACAATTCACAAATTCTGTGAGGATTTTATTTGGCAAGCTAGTCAAACCACACAATAATCTGCGCATATCTCCACAGAGACAGCAAAATGTGTGAATAATCTGAATGATGTCATGAATAAAGAAGAGGGCAAGAGAGAGAGGAAGGGCCACCTCAGCCTCTTTTCGCCAGAAGGCATTTGAGTGAGGTCAGCTTCAGGGATGTGTCAGGGAAGAGTTCTGAGCAATTTGAGGAGAATCCACACAGGCTTTGCAGCACATTGGATGCTCACAAGCTGACTGAGGTGTAACATCCTGGCTCTCAGCCAAGCCTACCTGCTTGTGTTCTTTTTCCTATTTTTAAAATATTAGAGGAAACATTTGGTGAAGAGTCTAGGTAATAGATTAGAATTGTGTCTGTAGAATTCATCTTTATTTAACTGTTGCAAAGATTGTGCTTCTTAAGTATGCTATTCTATGCATGTTTAGATCACACACACATGTGCCCCCCCCCACAAAAAAAAAAGCTGACAACTCACCGCTTTCTTCAGCCAGCACAGAAAAAAGTCCAACAATTCCTAGCATTCCCAACCCTGCTTAGCTGGCTGGAGAAAGTTGGGAGTTATATGTAATGCGCTGCCTGGAAGGGATACATTGCAGGAAGAAGACAGAGAGGACAGCATGCTGAGACGGAGCCCGATTCTTGCAGCGAAGCTGATGCTGCAGCTGACAGCCTCGCATTGGAAGAGCAGCCTGGGTCTTTCTGAGGCATTCCTGGACTCTCCAAAGGGCAGGAGGCAGAGCTGCAGGCAGTTCACCCCTTGGAAAGGCCGAGGATCATACATGAACCTTAGCAGCTCAAGCAGAAGGCACAGCTTTTAAAAGCAGCACACTGACCTAATTAGCCAGCTATGCTGATTAAGCAGCTATAAATTAGTGCAGCTAGAGCCTGTTCTCTGTTGTAGACAGTGGAGTTTAAGCTTGGTGCTTTGCCTTGGTTGGGAGTGAGAAAGATTTCTGCTTTGGGCACTCATTCTCAAGGGCCGCTGGCAGGGCTGTAGAGGAATCGGAACTGGAATGTGAAGCAGAACTGGGAGGGACTCTGGGAATGTGGGCCAGGCTGGGACACTGAGATGAGGGGAGATGCTTAACTCGACTCTAGACTCCCCAGGTAGGCAGTTGTCTCTGGAAATAACCAAGCTGCCCAGCCATCAGGAGGGGACTTGGAATAGGAGAGATTCTCAGACAAGGTGAGCATGGTTCTTGATCCATGATGCATCACAAGCAGAGGAGGATGGCCCCATTAGAGGACTGGTGTGCGGAGTGGAGGCACGCTCGCTTTCAGAAGGCTCCTCCGGAAGAAAAGTGACCTAGGCATGTTCATAAAGAGCGTTTCTGAAGGTGAATACTAGATTGGGCTCAAGAAGCCACTCTGTGCAAGCTCAGGTATTCATTCTGGGTTTTTTGTGCTTTTGGTCAATAAAGGATGCTTTTGAATGTGTGAAGGAAGAACCCTGGCCAGCAACAGCTGTGATCTTCTGGACTGGACATACTCCTTTACCCTTAGCTACCCATCTGGACTACCCTTTTAGAGACTCCTGCCTGACCTGGCTGCTTGACATGATGGCCTGACCTCAGGACAAGACTGGTTTCTCCCTTTGGTAACTCCCTGAAGATACTATACATAGCTTGGACTTGCCACTGGCAGGCCACTTTTCTGTCTAAACATGCACTAGACTGTACCCTAAGACTGCATTTCAAAGCTATTCACAGATGAATTTGCTCAGTGAGAGAAAACAGTATTTAATCAGTGTTCAATCTAATAACGTTCAGAAAAATAGAATGGTACAAATAGCCTCCTGGGCTTTAACATAGTTGTACCCATTAAGCAGGTTTTCCATCAGAAACACACACAATAAGAAGCAGATACAAAATGGTTAAGGTTGCCTATATTAGATTTGACTGCTCTTCAGACAGGAACAAAACAGACAAAATTTCTCCACTGCCAGTCAGATATTTTCCTATATCTATGAGTCATTAGTATACCTGGTTCTCTCTGGGCAATCAAAGTCTGGCTGTCCTGAAATAAACAACATGAAAATCAGCTAGGAGGATCTGCAACATATATCCTGACTGGGCATTGTGGCTGACTTTGTTTGAGTTTCCTAGGGATGAAGATCAGACAGAACTATCTGAAAGGTGAGCAAAGTTGTTTGTCAGCTTCAGTTCAAAGGAGGCTGAAATACAGCTGGTCTTGCAAAATGTTTCTGATCAATTGAGGTAATAAAACTGTATGGGTCTGCTTAAGTATCCTACAGGAAGACAAAGTTCGTTTATAACACTGCACGTGCTTGATAGCTATGGAAGAATTGTGTAACAATGTCCCTCTACTGGTTTTCCGACTGAGCACATACAGACTCTGCCATGTGAACACATCTCAACAAGTCCAAGCATGAAAAGATAACAATCTTGCCATTTGGAAAATCTTATAGCAGGAAAAACTGCATACATTATGGCTGAAAATTTCTTACATGAATATACCTAATGACTAGAGTTGATAAACCTTAAAATGATTACTGCCAACAAAACCACTATGCTGTGCATGAATTTGTTCGTAAACTGTGCAAGACATATGATTATGTTAATGGAGTTCCATGTTCTTCTATGCTACTATTCTGTTCCGACAGATGAATCTTGGAATTTCATAAGGATATGACAGCAATCTCTACCTGTTGGTCTCTACCATGTAGCACTCGAGAGCAGTACAGCCTTTGAAAACAAAGTTCAGCCATTAGACTTAATATCCATTGAAAGAATGATCCTCTGACTCTTCTTTGAACTATCTCAGGGATCTTCTCATTCTTCTGTGATTAATTTCATATTTTATACTGATGCACTTCCTTTTATCTAGTATTGAGTGTGTAAAGGGGAGAAGTCACTTGGCAGTATCCAGTGATATCCCAGTGCCAGCACAAATATTGTCATGCTAACATGAACCAGCAGTTGTACAATGTAACTAGTGCAGTAGGGAAAAGCAGTGATAATGATAGTGATGTTGCACAAGTGCTGGTTTATGCTACTGCAATATCATTAGTGTCGGGATGCCATCAGATGCTACTCTCACTATCTGCTTTCCTTACAACAGTCATACTTAAGAATATTCATAAGAGATTGTATTAATATATTTTTTAAAAAATCAAGACTCCTATCAGGAAAGGGACTAGGCTACACACTCTTTTTTCACTATTGATCTTGGTAGAATGACATGGTAAAAGCAGGCATGCAAATATCCCTTCCCCAGACACAGCTAGTTGCCTGCGCATGCAGCATTGTCAGTAGCGGTGGCAAAAATGATCAAGAAGGACCAACAAAGCATGAAGCATTGGAATAATGAATTCTTAAGCTTATTATTACTGTATTATGTTTATAACCCACTTATATTCTTCTTGAAAGGCACGCAAGGGTTATATGATTCTCCTCTCCATTTTATCTTTACAACAACAACCCTGTAAAGTAGGATAGGGTTGAGAATCCATGACTGGCCCACAGTGTAGAGACAGAAAAATATTCAAATCTGAGAAAAAGATAAAATCCACTTTACTCACTGCATGGTTGTAATCAGAAGTGCAAAGCAGGAGAACAGGCAAAATGTGTATGATTTAATCCCTTGAGTGCAGGATTTGTTATTCAGAAAAAGCTCATGGAGGGTAGGATCCAGATCAGGACCCTCGCATGGGGTATGTGAGTAGGACAGCATTAGCCCTTTGATCCCTGCCATGATCCAAATCCAGAATGGACCACTTTTGTCAGCCATTATCATAGGTGGTGGTGGGAGAAGTCCCAATGCAAACTATGGACATAAGTTTTCTAACGCAGACGGAGACTATATTGGTAGGAAAAGGCACAGGCTAGTGTCCCAATCTGAATGAGGCCCCTTCCTGGATATTTGTCAAAGAAAAACCCTGTACTCTCACAGACCATATGATCTGTGTCACTTCAAATTTGGCCTGAAACAATAGATATCTAAAACTAAACTGAAAAGCTGAACTCTTAAACTTGGGACAAGTCTACTTTTCAACTTTAGCTTTTGTGCTATTTTATAAGACCTTAAACCCAAGTGTACACTGACCCTGAACTGAAGCTGACCTATACTTTTTGGTGTTATTTATAAACAGACTCCTCCACAGTAGCCCTTTTTAATATAGAACTATGTCTTGCTTTTTATTGCTGCTTTCAAAACTCGGGGTTTAAGTATTTGGTTGAGGTTTTCTCAGGAATCTCGGCTAGAAGTCAACTGCAAGAACTCTAGACTCCTGTTAAACTGATCCTGAGAATTTACTTCCAACTGTGAATTTGTGAAGGTTATACTTCTGTGATTTTAGCTCCCT